CCCTGGTGACCTTCACCTACTGCCGTGACTCGGATTCGAACCGAGGTTGCTGCGGCCACAACGCAGAGTACTAACCACTATACGATCACGGCGCGCCACGGGGCCGCCCGTCACGCCGCTCGTGCTCTGCGCCCTTCACAGGGACTGGCGTCTTCTCCGCCCGAGGGCGGCGCCAGGAAGTGCGCTCGGCGGCAGTCCCCGCCGGCCTCCCTCCGGCTCTCCGCCCTCCCGCGGCTCACGGCTCGGCTCGCAGCCAGCGGGACGGGGGACGCTCCGGGCCGCACCTGCCTCCCCGCCGCGAGGGCCGGGTTTGGGGCCCTGCATGCGGGTCCCGGGTGGCGGGCGGCCCGCGCCCGCGGCTCTGCCCGAAGCGGGGGCCGGTGCGCGCTCGGGGGCGCGGGCCTGGCAGCTGCCGGTGGTGCAGAACGCCTCCGCTGCGCGCTGCTGCTGCGGGATTCCTGCCCCCGCGTGGGTTCACCGGGGAAGCTTGACCTTGCTCCCCTCGTCTAGGTCACGGATTAGCCCCCGCCCTTTTAATCTTTCCCTCGGTGCTCGAGGTGGGTTTGCTGGGTTAATAATCTCCCCGTCTTCCAGGGTGCTCTGAGGGGACGGCTCTTTACTCAGCAGTCCGTCCCCAGGGCTTTAAAGGTCGAAGGTCACTGTCGCAGCCTGCTGAGCGGGTGGGCGGACCAACGAAGGCGCCCCCAGTGCTTCCAGCTGGCAGCCCGCGTAGGAAGTTCACAATCCACAGCTTAACTTTCAGCAATTTTCTCTGTCTCCCTTCCTTGTGTAAACAAGACCGTCCCGATCACTGCCAGGCCTGCTGGATGAATTACCCGCTCCCCAACAGTCATCATTTTTGATAAGGAAAGATCTGGTGGCATTCTCAGTCTCAAAGAAATCTTAAAACCTCAAAGAAATGAGATGTTGCCAGTAAGCAGGGGGGGTACAGGCTTCCCCTGGTCCCAGGCCGGTTGGAATTGGACTTCTTTCCTTTGCAGAAGGACTCTCTCCATCCCCTTTATCGAGCCACAGCAGGCCTGGGCACGTGGCTCCAAGGTGGAGCGCTTCTCCAGCAGGTGTCAGGCCCTGGGTCCACTTCCCAGCCCCTTCAGCTGGTGTAAGGCTGGGAGGTGAGCTGCTGTGGGTGGGCTGGTGAGGCCAGGCCAGAAGCTTCTGTGGGTGGAGTCGCAGCTGCGGGGTGGGTTTCCTGCTGGGGTCGATCTGTGTGTGCTACTTTGTGGGTGTCACAGGCCCTTTCTCGTGCTAACTTTTAAAGGCCTGAGGATTTTGTCTATCATTGCAAGATTCTGAGGAAGGATGAGAGGTCGCAACACATCCTACCAGCTCAACACTTCCAGTGTCCACACTCTTCCACGTTGGAATTCTCTCCCACTCAAGGGCATAGTTTAGCAATTCTTTCTTCTGTCTCCTGTTCACGTCTATAGATGTATGTATGGGAAAACTATTTTATCTCTGTAGGATCTTTCCTATTGGCATTCCAAGTTGTTACTTCTTTTATCAGGAATAATTCTGCCTCCCTTCAGCTACCAATGAAGCCAGAATTAGACAGGCAGTCGGTATAGATAGGTAATTCCGGTCGGTCAGATCAAGGAGGTCGATTTGAGTTAGAAACTGCCCCCCCCCACACCCCTCAGGGATTGAAAGGCCTTTAGAGCCCTTCCTCCACCATATCCAGATAACTTGTCCCTGCTCCCCTCTGATGTGCCAGGAGTTGCCCTTCCCTACAGGGAGCTATCCGGTTGTTAACCTGTCCTGGGGTACATCATCCTGCCCTTCCCCCTCACCCACCGGTTTCCCACCTTTTGGCCATTCCACACCCAAAGAGCATTTCCTAGGCCTAGTCAGGGGCCTAGTCGAATACAGAGGAAGGAGAGATGGGGGAAGGGAGCAGAACAAAGGAAACCCAGGACATATAAAAAGGACAGAATACCTTGCTTTTTGGGATACCAGGCTACCAGCTGTGGCCCCCTTCTCCCTTCTGGGAGAAGTCTGTGTTTCCCCTTTTAAAATAAACCCTGCTTTATAATGCTTACCTTGGTGTGCTTCGCTAATGTTCAAACTTCAACATGTGAGGGAGCAGAGCTTGTCACCGACAACCGGCGGTATCACCAGCACTCTTGTCAACCAGCTTTCAGCCATATCCTCCCAGTGTCATGGAGCTCCCTCTTGTTTCATCTCACTCCTTCATTCAATCTCCTTCCACTGGCATTCCCCAAGCCTCCCCTGGAGCTGGTCTTGTTCCACTAATTGAAATGGTGTATCCAGTACTTGTTGATGGGTTCTCATCTGACTTGTCAGCTTTGGTACCGGGGATCCCCAGACCTTTTATCATTATTTGGCACAGGTTCTCACTAAATCACTAGTATCTTACCAAGTTGCCCAGGCTGGCCTGGACCTTGTTATCTTCCTGCCTCTGCTTTGGGAGCAACTAGGATTTACAGTCCTGGGCTATTGCAAGTGGGCCTGGCTTCTGGATAGCAGTAGATAGAGCAGCTGGATCCCTGTCTTGGAAACTGACGTGTCTGAATGTGTCCCTGGAATCCAGATGTTGAAAATTACTCGCCAATATTGATACCGCTGGCTATTGGTGATGAGTTCTGCTCCCTCAGCCACTGAAGTATAATATGAGGAAAGCACGCCGGGGCCAGCCTATAAAGCAGGGTTTATTTAAAAAGGGGTAACAGACTTCTCCTGGGAGGCAGAAAGGGCCCATAGCTGGTGTCTGGGTACCCCATGAAGCGAGGGTGTTTTGCCTTTTTATATGTTCCAGGCTTCCTTTGTTCTGCTCTCTTTACTTTCTTCTTCCTGTGTTTGTGACTAGGCGCCCAGGAAATGCTTGGTGGGATGGCAAAAAGGTGGAAAACAGGTGGGCTGAAGGGGAAAGGGCAGGATGGAGCAATTAGCTCCCTGTAGGGAGGGCAATTGCTGGGACAGGTGACCTTAGCAACAGATTGGAGCAGGGGCAGGTTCTTAACAAGGGTGGAGGAAGGACTCTGAAGGAATTAACATCTCAGTCCCTCAAGGGGCAGTCTCTAATTTCTTGGAGTCAGTCAACTGGCCTCCTTGATCGACCTGACTGGATTTACCTGTCTCTTCTAACTTCCTAATTCTGGCGTCAATGTGTTAGTGTTAAGAGGTGGGCCTTTAGGAAGTGAGAGCCATCATGGAATAATTACTCTAGTTTTATAGTTTCCTGTGAAGTGAAAGCAAGCCATATCAAGTTGGGGTGGGAACAGGGGGAGAGGACCCCAAATACAGGGCTGTGTAGAGCATGTAAATGTGGATGAGCAGTCAAGCAACAGCAGTCTGAGGTGTAAAATTTTGATAACACAAAATTGAAAACGTATGGAATCCAAGCTACTTAAGAGACTCCATAAAAATAGTATTTATCATGTGGTTCACAAGCTGAAAGATTTACTAGGACAGTTTACAATTAAATATACAGCCAGATTTATCTGCTATTCCCATCTTTACTTGCAGAAGTCTATTGAATAAAATGACAATAAACTACAAGAAAAAAAAAATATGGTAATGGAGTGACACATCTGGGGCTCTATGTAAAAAAACCTGCTGAGATTCCCACCCAAAAAACATCTGTCTCAAGGCCCTTGCATTCAGTTCCCTCTTCCTGAAATACTCAAGTCCTGATAAGCCTCCTGCCTTTGTGTGAATGTAAGAATCTCAAGTAACACCTTCAAGGTCATTTTGGTAACCTTATCTAGAATGGTAGTCCCTGTAGCTTTGTAGCTTGTTATAATTGATGTGCATCACCTGGCATAGTACACCTTGACAAGCTTATCATCTCCACCCAGAAGAAATTCCCAGGGAGGCAGACTTTCCAGGTTGCTTTATCCTTAGCTACTGGGCAACAAGTAAACACCTGTTGCAAACAAATGGGATCAATGGGTCAACAGGGTTCTTAGAAAATTTGTTTATTAGCACATCAATTCCTAGTTCCCAGAATCCAAGCGACTAATGAAATGTCAATTCCATCCTCTACAAAGTTACTCCTTGTCACTAAAGCAGATGACATTTACAAAACCGCCTTGCTAAATTTACTTTTTTAGTCAGTACATCCTGGAGTTTAATATTGCCACTCGTGTTTCAACCAGTTGTAGATTTGACTACCCCCACTTACTGCTACTGGGACTACTACATCCCTGTTTCTCAACTCACCGTAAGAAAATTGCCTCCCACAAATATTATGCAACAAGAGTGCAAACTGTGTGCCAACAGCTTCTTCAAGGACAGTTTAGGGTGGCTCTGAAAAGAGCCTTTGTTTTGCGATATTTCCAACCTCGCTCCTTATTTGGTCTTGTGGTGGCTCTCCGTCTTCTTGGGCAGCAGCACCGCCTGGATGTTAGGCAGGACACCGCCCTGCGCGATGGTGACTTTGCCCAGCAGCTTATTGAGCTCCTCGTCGTTGCGGATGGCCAGCTGCAGGTGGCGCGGGATAATACGAGTTTTCTTGTTGTCGCGGGCCGCGTTGCCCGCCAGCTCCAGGATCTCGGCCGTCAGATATTCAAGCACTGCTGCCAGGTAGACGGGCGCGCCGGCCCCCACCCGCTCGGCATAGTTGCCCTTGCGCAGAAGACGATGGACTCTACCAACTGGGAACTGCAGGCCGGCTCGGGAGGAGCGTGTCTTAGCCTTGGCGCGGGCTTTACCGCCTTGCTTACCACGTCCAGACATATCTCGCCAAACTAGCAGAAAAAAGTCCTGAGACCAAACACCAAAGCGGCACCTTTTATAACCACTATTGGGCGCGAAAAAGTAGACTTGTCATTGGTTGAAATTGTAACTTCGTTCCAACCAATAGAAAAGCGACTTTGGAATTTACGCATTCTGATTGGGCAAAACTAACTTCTGACGTTCATCTGAACAACCACCAATGAGAAACAGGCTTTAACTCCACCTTATTTGCGTATAGGGTTCTATATAAAGCCGCACCGTGCCTCTAGCTTTGCTTTTGAAGCTTCTGCTCTTCGACCATGCCTGAGCCAGCGAAGTCCGCTCCTGCCCCGAAGAAGGGCTCCAAGAAGGCGGTGACCAAGGCGCAGAAGAAGGACGGCAAGAAGCGCAAGCGCAGCCGCAAGGAGAGCTACTCGGTCTACGTGTACAAGGTGCTCAAGCAGGTGCACCCCGACACCGGCATCTCATCCAAGGCCATGGGCATCATGAACTCGTTTGTGAACGACATCTTCGAGCGCATCGCGGGCGAGGCCTCGCGCCTGGCGCACTACAACAAGCGCTCGACCATCACGTCCCGGGAGATCCAGACGGCCGTGCGCCTGCTGCTGCCCGGGGAACTGGCCAAGCACGCCGTGTCGGAGGGCACCAAGGCGGTCACCAAGTACACCAGCGCCAAGTAAATGCCATGTAAGCGTCTTTGCACCTAACCCCAAAGGCTCTTTTAAGAGCCACCTACATTTTCAATATCAGAACTGCAAATGCGTCTTCTGATCTTTGTTAGGCTAAGTCTAAAAAAGTGCCAGAAGTTTTCCATTACACGGTAGTTAGAATGGTGTTTGTCTCCTAACTCAGAACTAGGGTTTTGCAGGGGAGCTTCACAATCATCTTGAGTTAAAATTTGCTTTGATGTGGCGTTTTGAAGAAAACGGTGGTGGTTACGTTACCTGGACTAGAGATTTTCCTTATTAAAAAATTTCTTCCCAACTTCTGATCCTCATCAGCCCACCTGGGTCGGGAAGACACCGAGAGCACCTGGTAGCTGGTGTCTACAGGGGCTGGGAAAGGACTTCCCTTGTGAATAGAGGCAGGGAACGCCAGGGTCACAAAAGGTCTGGCGACCAGTTTAGAACAACTAACATTCACTGCTTGAATCGATAATTTCATTTGAAAAACATGCGGAGGTTTATAGAACTTTGACGGGAAATTCTGTTCAGAGTAGCCACTGGCACGGCAAGAGAGGAAGTTCGGGGGGTGGGGTGGGGTGGTGATGAACCAGGCCAGGGTCTGAGCAGTTTTAATAAACAGCCCAGGGCCAAAGGAAAGGAGGTTGTGACCTGGCCAGGTGTGTAGTTCAGAAGCGGGGTGGGTTTTCCCTATTCTTAGTCGGGTATACTGAGTGAACATAATGTAATGAGTTGTCTGCTCTTTTGGAAGTGTGTTAGGGATTAACAGGGTAGATATGTTCACTGTTTATCCAGGTCTTATTCTATCAGCGATTTATGGGTTACATTTAATCTTGATTTTTAAAAAAAAATATTTATTTTTTAGTTACAGGTGGGCAACACAATCTTTAGTGCTGAGGATTGAACCCAGTACCTCACACGTGCTAGGTGAGCCCTTTACCTCTGAGCCATAACCCCAGCCCTCAAATAATTTTTAACTGAGTTTTTAATCAACATTCCAAGCACTGTTCTGTATATGTGCCTGTGATGTATTATCATCTGATGTGGAGGTATTAACTTACATTTTCAAATGTGGAAAGTCACCTACAAAGACTTGGAAGAAATGTCTTTTTTGAAGAGCAAGGGCATAAGCAAGGGAAGGGCAGAGTGCCTCATAAGTGAGGAGAGGTGTGAGTGTAATTTGAGCTTTCTGTAGACTGGTTTCCCTGCCAGGACATCTTTGGATAGCAAGAGCTGTTTGACCCCTAGGCGGATGGGAGAAAACTACCAGGGTAATGGCACTGCCTGGTTAGATTTCAAGGGGAAGAATGGGATACTAAAGGAAATGCTTGCATTACATTAGCTTACTTTTCTCCAGTGAGTAATGCAGGCCCTAGCTATGTAGGATTTTGGTAGTTTGACTAAAATACACCAATGGTGGTGATGAATTCCACCTACAAGGTATATTTTGCTATTTTTTTAGATTTTTGTTTTTGGCCTAGAACTGTATAACTGGTGTGCCGCTGTCATTAATAACAGGCTTATAACCATTTTTGCAAAAGCTGTATCTTGGCTTTACAAAGTTTACTTTCAGACTTTTTTGCTCCTGTTCCAGAATTCTGAAAGTGCATTTTATTTTAATAGAAAACATGAATGGAAGTTTAGCCATAACTTTCACCAGTACCTCTTTTCTCATTATTTTCACCTGGATCTCCTTTTGTTTCTCTGTCTAGTTCAGAATAAAACAGCTAGAAAGAATCACAAAGTTAAGGTCAATGTTCTCTCACAATTAACAAAGCTGATGCACAGGGCTTAAATAATTTGCTCAAATTACGAGAGGTAGAACAAGGATCTGGTATGCCCTTGTTTCCCCCTATTGTACCACTCATGTACGTCAATCTTTTCCTCTTTGGACAAGTATTATTAACTTGATTTCATTTAGAACAAAAATAAGACTGCTTGTATCTTTATAATCTCTTAAATTATCAAAAAATTAACTGTGCTTACTATCTCCTAAAATTATTTTGTCATGAGTAAGTAGTTCATGCTTTAGAACAGTTGTGATTGAGCCATAGCAATTCGGTCTGGAAATTGGTATAGTGTCCTGAATTACACCAACAGTTACAGCTCCAGGTTCTGCCAGACTGGGAAACCAGGAGAAGCTTACAATGGAGATATGGAGGTTTATTTAACTCTGGTTAATAACTTGGCAATCACATATTTAGTCTATAATAATGCATATATGGGTCTAGAGGTTGAAGAATCAAAAGACCAAGAAAATGGCATGGCTTTATTCATTGAATAGCAGGGAAAACCTTAGGTATTATTTACTGAGTACTTAAAACAGGACAAATTCCACAGCTCTGTGCCCATAAGTAGTGTAATATGTCACAGTGCTTTCTTTATCACCTTAGGTCTGAGTAGAACTGGAAGACTTCATTTTCAGGAATAATTAGTGGAGGAAAAAGAAATTCAATCTTCATTTTATTGTTCCAGTTTCTCTCCTGAACTAGGACTTTTTTTTTTTAAAGTCTCTGAACTATTCATATATTTGTGTCTGAAAGCTTAAAGCCAATTTGTTACTCTAATAGGCACTGTTATAGAAATGTAATGTAATACACACAATTTTTATTTTTCTAGCACCCATATTTTTAAATAAGTAAAAAAAATAAAATTTTAATGTTCTGTTTGACCCAGCATGTTATTTCAGCATATACAGAATTTATTAAATGGATCTTTCTTGTACTCATTGCATTGCTTTGTTTTTTTATTTCGAGATTTCAAAATATGGTGAATTTTACACTTTTACAGTACAATAAAATTATAAAATGTTCATGGAATTCTTGGTCTGTATTAGTTGTTTTAAGTTGAATCATTCAGATTTATGAATCTAAGTCCTCAAGTATAAATATTATCCAAAACCAAACCAGCACCCATTTAAATGAAATATAAACATTGCTTTTTTTTTTTTTTTTTTTTTGTCAACTACCCCATGGGGCCCTCCTCACTGGATAACGGATCTTCTGAAATCAGAAGGGCACTGGAGGGCTTGGACCATGAGAGCTGTGGGGTAGGGGATACTGACTGCTCTGATGGAAAAACTACTTTCTTAGGCTCACAACCTGAAAAGTATAAAATCACCAATTCCAACTGGGATAGTGATTGACAGGTCTCATACCCGTTTCTTTCTCTAGGTTATCCATTATAAGGACTAGCCCTAAGACTGTTCATGATGGCTTTTCTATATACTGAGCATGGTTAAGAATGCCACAGATTTGAGTTACAGATGCCTCTTTTATGAATGATAATAAATCACAAGAATATTACATTCAACATATTCAACACCTAAATGTTATCAGGTTTTCCTGTTTGTTAAGCTAAACCTTAAGAACATTGTTCAAGTCAAATCACAAAGCTAAGCCTTTTACCCCCTAATTGATGCCTGCAGTTTTGTATCCCCAAATTAAGTTCAAAGTGTATGAATGTGCTTGCCACATGCCGACAAAGGCTGACTACAATGGAAACCAAAAAATTAAGCAGCTTAAGAAACGCAACTAATTATTCAACAATCCTCTGTATTTATGTTTGTTGGGTTGTGTATAAGACAATAAAGTCAAGGTGTGCGGAGAATCAAAACCAGTGCCCCACATGCTGGGCTAGTGTTCTGCTCAAGTGAGCCACAACTCCAGCCCCCAAACCGCCCATACCCAGAAAACTGTCCTCCAGACGGAGCAGCTACTCCTTCCCCAAGACCCCCAAACTAGAGCGTGTCAACCTGCAACTCTTTCATTGAAGATGTGCGGCCCTGAAAAGGGCCTTTAGTTGGGGAAAGCAGGTGATGGCGGCACCAGGACGCTCAGCCGCCGAAGCCGTAGAGGGTGCGGCCCTGGCGCTTGAGCGCGTAGACCACGTCCATGGCCGTGACCGTCTTGCGCTTGGCGTGCTCCGTGTAGGTGACGGCGTCGCGGATCACGTTCTCCAGGAACACCTTGAGCACGCCGCGGGTCTCCTCGTAGATGAGCCCGGAGATGCGCTTGACGCCGCCACGGCGGGCCAGGCGGCGGATGGCGGGCTTGGTGATGCCCTGGATGTTGTCGCGCAGGACTTTGCGGTGGCGCTTGGCGCCGCCTTTGCCCAGGCCTTTGCCTCCCTTGCCGCGACCAGACATCGTGAGCGAAGAGAAGAAGGTGGAAGACTGTCGGGTTTGGTCGGAGGCACTTTTTATAGGTCAGCTCTGCGGACCGGAGTGAAGACTGAAAGCGCGGTGGCGGGAAGGCCCTCCGGGTAGGGGGAGGGGCCTGGAGGCACCGGAGCCCACAGTGCTGCAATTTACTTTCGGTTTGTTTTAATCTTAAAGATTTAATCTATTAACTTTTTTCAGTTAATGTAATTCCCGTCCTATCCGCAAACGACAAAACTCTAAAGTTGTCGAATATACGTGAAAAGCGAAAATATTCTGTTCTTTCCTCTGCCTGTTGCACAGGTCTTCTTAAGCAGCGTGTGCAATGACTGGGGTATTTGTAGTGTTTCTCCTTTCTGTGCCATGTGAATGGACTCCATAGGCCAACTTTTAGAAACAGAATAGGTGGACTAATAGAAGTCAGACTTCTAAGCTCCCTTAGGTTGTGTTGCCAAAGTATCTTCCCGCAAAGGTAGACTGTTTTTGAAGGATTCCAACAGTGATTACTAATCCATCATAATTTGGATTTTATTTCTTGTAAAGAGAAGTTTTTAAACAGTTAACCAACTGGCCAAGCAGTGCAATGTTAACTATTTTGCTTCCAGATTTGAAGAGTCCTTTTACAGTGTATTGAATATTTCAATTAAAATTATGAAATTTCTGCTTCATTGATTAATCTATGTGTAGTGCTGGAGTAATTATGATTATTTGTAGCATTGAAGACTATCCTGGTGTTTGACAGTGTAATTCCCACTTACACAATTATTTAAAATAATTTTATACTATTGTCACCATTTATACTTTTTGAAATTACAAATAGTTCACTTACAATAATGAAATCTTTTAGGATTTTGTTTGAAATCGTTAAATCTTTATATTTATTTGGGTAAATTTGCTGACTTTGAAATACTGTGAACTCCCAACCTGAAAAATACTGAATCTATCAATGAAGGTTTTTAAGTGTATCACAGTAAGGGTTTTTTGTTTTTTGTTTTTTTTTTTTTTAATAATATGTGTCGAAAGCCGGCTGGCTGGGCAAAATAGCTGGGGGAATATGTATTAAATTAAAAAATATCTTGTATAATTACAAGAGCTATTGTCTTCATTAATGAAAAAGTAAAAGATTCAAATGCAAGGAAGAGTGAGTATGCTTTTATCTTTCTAAGACAGTGTTTATTCAAGTACTTATTATATAACATGCTTTTGGCTGCATATACTTGATTTAAAAAATGTCATTTTACTTTGCTGCTGTCTGTCACAGGGCTGGAACCTTCTGGGAAACAGATAATTCTTGGGATCAAGTCAGATTTCAGTTATCTTGCTCTGTAACAGTTTCTTAGAAGGGCTGGGAAAGGTGGAAAGATGATACTTTCAAGGGAGATAGTGGATTCTCTGAGAGGACCTCTCCTCCTCTCCTGCCCTCCAGTTTTATGGGGGGGAGGGTCCTAGGGAAGTTTCCAGAGAGTCCTTCTCAGATCACTTTTTGTTTTTTGACCACCGGATGACATCAGACTTTTAAGTCCCCACTGCCTTGATAAATCTTGGTCACTTTGGCCCTTGCTGACCAGTTCTTACTGATTTTATGGCTAGTTGGAATTATCCTTATTTTCCTGAGTTCTGGGATCTGGATTTTGAAAGGGTCACAAAATCTCCCTCTTTAGAGTGACTCTAAATAACTGGATGTTATTTCAGGCCTGCATTTTTCCTGCAGATAATAGGCAGTTTGCTGAGGAATGTAACATACCTGTCCACTTAAGACAGGCAGGACTGCAGGTAAATTGCTTCTTAAAAAGAAAGCACGTGGGGGTCAGTACAAAAGGCCCAGTTCAAATTATTCCCTTAATCTCATGCTTCCAGCACTCCTAGATTAGATCTCTCTGTCCCTTACCTTTGAGACATTTTAATCACTTCTTCCACCAGTAACTTGTGATTCCTTGTTATTCCTTGACTTTTCTACCTTTTAATGAGAGATCCCTTAGAGCAAAGTTGCATTACAGTATTTTCTTTCTTTTTTTCTTCTTCTTTTTTGGTGCCAGGGATGGGAACTCAGTAGCACTTAGTTATTGAGCCATATCTCCAGCCCCCTCTCCCCCCTCCCTTTTTTTCTTTTGAGACAGGGTTTTGCTAAATTGCTTAGGGCTCACAAATTGCTGAGGCTGACTTTGAATTTGTGATCCTACTGCCTCAGTCTCCTGAGCCACTGAGATTACAGGTGTGCACTATATAGTATATCCACAGTATTACACTTAAATTTCATAAAATACATAAAAAAGTAAGTAAATGAAAATAAACTTTTCAAGAAAAATTTGAGATTTTCAGTATGTTTCAATAAAAAGAAACTTATGTTTTTATTGAAACTTATGTTTCAATAAAAAGAAAAATTGCTGAACACTTGGAAAAACAAAAACAAAAAATGATTCAACAATAAATGTAGCCAAATTCCACCTAAATTATAGAGAAGGTAGATCACATAGGCAAACTAACAAGCTAGTTTAAGGGCAAAGACATGTTAAAAATAAAAGGCTTAATTTTCTCTTGCAAATAAAAGGCTTTCTTCCACTTAGAGTTTTTCTAGCATTTTCAAATGTATGGAAATCTTTTTATTCAGCTTCAAAATGCAGGAATATTTTTTCAAGGACTGGAGAGTCATCTCTTCGAAATGTAGTAGTTAACAAGGAATATAATTAGATTTCCTCAGTTTCCAGATGCAGATGGTCTAACTTCAGCTGTCACCTGACCCCTAATTTTGAGATCAACTTAATATAGCCACATAAAAGACAAATTTCTTTGTCTTTGCAAACTGTTTATAAGATTGCCTGCGATTAGTGTTTCATGCTGGCTCAATGTTTATTCAAAAATAAAGCTCTTTCTCTTCATTGGGGGAGTTTTTGGTTTTTTTTTTTTTTTATTACATTTCTCCAATATTAACTGGAACATATTTTAAAGACATAAAACATCAGTACAATTTCCATCAACAGGAAGCCTCTATCCTTACTTGATTTCATAGGTTTTTTGCACAGGAAGTCATAAGGACAGCAATAGACGGTGAAGGTGGGAGAATCTGCCACAACAAAGTATACCACTTGGCATAGGGATTATTTTGAGAGGAAGGCAATTAAAGCAACAGATGCAAGAAGTGCTCTCTGGTGACTCCTTTTTATCCTGGAAGGAGTCAGGCCAGCATGGACAGGAAGTTGAGGCCAGAGAGAACTCTTGAAGATCTTGTTAATGTAATTCCTAATCATTTTAAAAATGTGATGCTTTAGTCTTCTTCCACAGTTTTGTTGCTTTTCCAAGATTAACCTTGTTACTTTCAATTCCTTATGACTGCGCTCTTGTCACATAAAACTTACATTAAAGAAACTTGTATGCTTTTCTCCTGTTTCTTCTGTTTCTCAGACCTAGCTACTAAGCCCTTCCCTGGGTAGAAGCAAAATTTTCCACCCTCGCAATGGATGTTTGACTAGCTTGTTATCTTCTTTATTTCTAAGCTTCATAGCCAGAAATTTTTCTACAAATACCTAGAATTATTTTTAAAAAGTAATGCTTTTCAGGCTTTTTTCTAACATG